AAAAAAAAAAAAAAAAAAAGAGTGACTTTGAGACTGAAACACAGATTCCTAACAGAAGACTCCTACAGTTGTCTTTTTCAGAATGGATGTTGAATTTTCCCAAATGGCCTTTCAACATCTCCAAAAATGACCAGGCTTGACAGTTTATTTCCGCTCCCCTTTTATACACATGGAGCCTTCCTGTATATTCTGTTACGCTCCACAGTTCTTTTTCTACATTATAAATGAGTTATTATCAACCTGGACATCCTCTTTTCTCTTTATTTTTGCTTTAGACCCTGTTACATTTCGAGCTTTCACAGGCACAACATAAACCCAAAGCTGGCCTACGTAGCTTCTTGGGTGCCCAGCTGAGCGGGAGGCCTGATATATGAACCCCCTGCACCCTCCCAGCAACCGAGAGCGGGACACGTTAGTACAAGTGCATTTCACCAGAGAGAGGCCTAGAGCCCCGTGAGTCTCGGGAGCCGGGGGGTAGGCAGAGCCCTCCAGTGAAGGTGGGCTGGGCCACAGGCCATCAGGAGGCCACAGCTGGGGACAGACTCAGTCTGGGCTTTAATCCCACCTCCCACTCTTCTGAGTGACTCAGGGCAGCCTCCTTGACCTTGCTGGGGCCTCCTTTTCCTGTCTAGAAAATGGGAGATGATCACAGTTCTTCTCCTAGGGTTCGTACAAGATTGAAACACTTCAGAGAAAGTATATACGTGTGGCATTTGTTTCAATTACCCAAGGAAAAGGGAGCGAGCTCCACGTGGCTTGTACCTTCTAATCTCCTGAGAGAGGCTGGGAACCCTGATTCCGACGTTTAGAAGGTCGTGACTCACTCTAATGTTAAATGTCATACAAAGCCGGGCCCAATCCGGCCGTGGCTGCCCTGGCCTCCTCCCTGGCGGGGCGGGGCACTCACGTTGTTGATCATGAGGTGCATGATGGTCTTTGGCATGAGGTCACGGATGGACTTGTTGATGATGGCCACATAGGAGTCCACCAGGTTGCGAATGGTCTCCACCTGGCGCTCCAGCTGCGGGTCCATGGAGAAGGTGTTCTCCTGGACCCCGTCCTCATTCTCTGCCTGTGCGGGGAGAGGGCAGGCGGTGAGGGGGGACTGTGGCCTGAGGCGAGCGTGGGGAGCCCCCCTTCTCTGCGAATGGCTTGCCTTGTCCTGCCCACAACCGGCTTTCTGGGGATGTCCCCTGATGGCCGTGTTGGCTTCAAGTGGCCCTGCCCGCCCCTGGCCTGAGCTGCCTGGACCTGGGGTGACCATGCCCCAAGGTGGTTGGACCCCTCACGTGGGGACCGGAACATGTCAATTTGGGGGCCGAGGGCAGCCACGTTCACTCTTCCTCAAGGACAGGAGGAGGAGAGGGAACAAAACAGATAGGGTCCCAGGCCATGTATATCCCTGTCCTTGTCTTTACTTGGAGAGCCTTCTGGACCCTGACCACAAAACCCTCTCCCCTTTTCTCCTTTGTTTGCTCACGACAGTATGGGCTATGATCCTAGAAATGACCCATCCAGGGAGACGCCAGACCCCTTCCTCTCCCAGGGTCAGCACAGCCCGACGTGTGCCGGCCGGGCAGGGCGGTTCCTTACCTGGTCCTTCTCGGGGTAGACCCCAGCTCGGAGGAACGAGGCCTTCCAGCTGTCCACGTCCTCCTGGGAGTCACAGGCCAGCTCGATCTGCCGCAGGTCCTTGTAGACGTTCCTGCAGCAAGAGGGAGGAAGAAGAGGCATGTGGTTCGAGCCTGCCCGTGGGGCTAACAGGTGCAGGGAGCTGTAGCGTGGGCTCTGGGGTCCGAATGACGGGGATTCACACTTGACCCGGGCACTCACAACTGGAGCCCCAGGATGGCAGTGGCTCCTGCAACCGGTCAGGCTGAGAGGAGCCCCCAGTTAGTGCCTACAGCATCTAAAACCCTGCCAAGTGCAGCGCACATGCTCGGTGATGTATGCAACTAGTGGCATCCGTGGGGTTTTGTTTTTGTGGGTTCGGGTGACTCCTCTCCTCTCCCCTCTTCCATGCCCTCCTGTGGGGGCCAAAGGCTGCCCAAGACACTCTCAGAAGTGGGCAGGTGTCCCCTAACACCCCTGCCTGGGGAAGCTCCCATCAAGGTTTCTCAGGGAGGCTACAGCAAAGTTGTTCAAAAGAACATTCCGCGATGGCAGAACCTGTGTCGTCAGGTGCGGTAGCAAGGAGCCGCAGGTGGGTTCTTTGTGAGCACCAGGAACGGGGCCAGGGTGACTAAGGAAGTGAATTTCAACTTCATTTTATTTCAGTCAGTTAACATTTAAATAGCTAAATTTGGGCCAGTGGCTACTGCACTGGATACTGAAGGTCTAGAATGTGCCCCGACTCCTGGGGGGGCTGGGCTGGTGGGGGGAGGGATGTGGAGGGTTGGGGCTCCCAGCTGAGCATGTGCAAAGCAGGACAAATGTGGGTCTGTGAGCAGAGGCGGCAAGAGCCACAAGGCTGGAGGAGAGACGGATGGACAGTGTTCTGCAGGCTGGGATCTGTGCCACACACGTGCTCTCCTGTCCCACAGGGCAGCGGTGGCCGAGATGGCCAAGCTGGCCCACCGCTTCGGCGTGAGATCCGAGTCTGAGGTTACTCATGGCCCGTGACGGAGCTACGGCCAACTAGCCGTCAGTGCGTGGCTGCCCTGAGACTTCTGGAAGGAGTCTCAGAGAGTGGGAAGCGGGCCTTCGTTGGGAAGGCTCTTCCTCTTCTGTTGCACTGCCTGGAATATCATGGTGGCTGGACCTTGGGCAGCCATCTTGGAAGAGGAGGAGGAAGGCTCAGGAATAAGGAGGGACCTGGATGCCTTTGGAGCTGCCCCACCTGCCCCAGATGGGAACATCATAAGAAACAATAGCAACTTCTATCTTGTTTCTGTCACTATTATTCTGGGGTTCCTGAGCTCACTCATAAGTGATACATTAGGTACCATCTTCACAGGGGATCACGGGCCCGGGGAGGCGGGCCAGCTGCCCACTGTGCAGCAAGGAAGGTCTTCCTGGCAGGCCTGTCCCACAACAAAGCCCAGGATCAGCCACGCCAAAGCGGGTCTCAGAGCTTCAGGCCATTCTGTGACAAAGCAGGTAGAGCTACTCCTACACAGAACGTGACGCTGGCTCCAACCCATGGGAGCGATGGGCAGTGAGGGAGGTGGTCCCGGGGCAGCGGGGAGGATGTCGAAGTCTGTTGGTCCATGGTGAAGAACCTCCAGGCCTTGGCTGAAAGCCGCTGCGACTTAGGTGCTCCCTGGCTCCTGGATGAGGACGCACCAGAGTCCCGCGTCCACACTCTGCCCTTCCCCCTGCTCTCGGATCCCCTGCCAGCTGGACCTCTTCCCAAGCTGAGAAAAACATCTTTATTTTTGCTGAAGTCTGCCCCCAGTGCCCGGTGGGGTGGGTTTTCCGAGGACCTCCTGGGCCTTTCTCTTCTGTCTACACTCACCTGAGGGTCTCACCCCCATCTATGACTTTGAACGTGGCCATGCATTAACAACTCCCCAATTCACACCCCGCCTGGAGCTCATTCCCCAACACCAGACTCTTGAATGTGCACGGCTGCCTCCGATTCCCCACGTGGTGTCTCAGAGGCCTCTCTCCCTCAGCGTGGCCCCGACCCAGCCCCTGATGGTCCCCAAGCCTACCCTGACCCTGCCTTCCCCAGCTGATGGCAGCTCGGTCCCTGCGTGAGTTCAGGGTCACCAGAAAATGCTTTCCTCTCTTGCACCCACATCTACCAGGGCTTTGGTGAGCTCTGACTCTCGGCATCAGCATCGGCTGCCTCCCCCTCTACGTCCTCAGCCCCACCCCAGCCCAGCCCCCACAGCCTCCCACCTGGACCAGTGCTATGCAACCCATCCTAGTTTCCCCACTCCTGCCCTACTCCGCCACAGCCACCAGGGGGCGCCTGTGAGCACCTGAGCAGGGGCCAGTCCCTCCTCCGCTCAGAACCTCGGCCATCACTTCATCAGGTCTCTGCCCAGATAGGACTTTCCTGACCACACACTGGAAGCACCCACGGCCGTTTTCTGTTTCTCACTTGATTCCCTAATTTTTTTTTTTTAATGTTTCATTTTGAGACAGAGAGAGACAGAGTGCTAGCGGGGGGGGACGACACAGAATCCGAAGGAGGCTGCAGGCTCCGAGCTGTCAGCACAGAGCCCGAAGCGGGGCTTGAACCCACGAACCGTGAGATCATGACCTGAGGTGAAGTTGGACGCTTAACTGACTGAGCCACCCAGGCGCCCCTCACTTGATTCCCTTTCTGGAACATGAGACCCCAGGGCAGGGACTTTACACAGAAGACGCTCAGTGGGTACTGCTGACTGGATGGGGACGGCCACCCTCGCCCAGTGGGCTCTCACCTCTGCTCCGTGTTGAAGATGGCGAAGACGTGCTTGTTGGACATGAAGCCTTTCTCCACGTCGCGGATTTTCAGGTTGTCCAGAGGCAGCATGTACTTCTTCTCCTTCTCCTGAGGGTGGAAAGGGGAGGGGTCACCCCGGACTGGACCCCACCTCGAGGGCCACCTGCCACAGCCTCTCATGCTGGTGGCTTTATTCGGATTAACTCACCTGCCTCGGCCCCACCTCTCCCTTGTCCACTTTGCCCCAGCCATGCCAGCCCCCACGATGGTCCCTCAAGGTGCCAGGTGGGCTCATGTCACCCCAGGGCCTTTGCTGGAATGTTCCTCCTCCAAATGCCCGCGTGGCTCCCTCCTTGCCTCCTTCAGGTTTTTGTGTGAAGGGGACCCTCTCGGAGAGGCCTGCCCCGACCCCACCCCACACGTTCGCAGGCACTGTCTCCCTTGCCTTCTCCGTCCTCCTTCTCCCCTTGGTACTTCCTCTCGTGTAACACAACACCTTATCCTGCTCACTGACCTAGGCTATTCTCTGTCACCCACCTGATTCGTCAGTTCCTCAAGGCCAGGGACTCCTGTCTGGTTCACTACCACGCCTACGACCACTCTATCTTCACAATGAGCCTGTAACTGAATTACTGCTATGATCCCATCTTACAGAGAGGGAGACTGAGGCAAAGAGGGGGCAGGCAACAATTCAGGGGTAGGGCTGGGATTTAAAACTAGTCAGCTTCAGATGATCCTGGAGCTGGAAAGTGAGCCCCCTTGAGGTGATGCCTGAGCTCCAAAGCCACGGAAGTGTCACTCGCTTCCCAAGGGCAGCCCTGATCAGGAAGTGCCCCACGGAGTACAGGCACAGCAGTCCTGGCGGCTGCTGGGGAAGCAGCTGAGAGGATGTGGCCCTCAGCCAGGGGCACAGGCCTGGCGAGTCACGGAAGCCAACATTCACCCACCGATGGAGGCTAAGGACCTACTGTACCCCCAGCCTGGGGCTGGGCCCCTGTGGGTGCATCATCTTAGACCTCCCTGCAGCCCAGGCCTTAGCAGTTCAGATGGGCTCTGCCCCTCCCCGGCCACGGACCCTTGGGCAAAGCACTCCCTCTCTATGCCTCAGCTTCCTCATCTGTCAAAGGCAGACAGGAGTCCTGCCCTCCCTGTGCAAGGTGAGGATTAAGTCGAGCCCAGGAGACACTAGGGTTTTCTTCTGTGTGTTTGTCCCTCACTCTTATGGCTCTAGGGTCAGGTCCCAGGACTCTGGCAAAGGAGGAAGCCAGGCAGAGTGCTCCTTCCGGCCGAGCTGCAGTGAGGAGCAGAAGAGGGGCCTGGCGGCCACGGAGGTGCGGACCCCCCGTTCATGCTGCAGAGGGGGGTCTGAGGAAGGAGACGGCACAGAAAGGCTCCGGCTAAGTCCCAGGGCCCTCCAACCTTCCGGAGAAGAGTCTCGGGGGCTTTAGAAGGGGCCGGGATGGGGGTTCCCTGCTCAGAAGACTGTGGAAGGGCCTCTGCTGCCCCCGCCCTGTCGTGTCAGGAGGCAGGAAGCTTCCAGTCGGCTGGCCAGGCCAAGTAACTGAGTCACAGTCCTTTTGGGCCCCGAGCGAGACGCCACATCTGGAACTGTTTATAGTGTGATTCCGCCCAGAGCGCGGCAGCTGCCTTCCTGATGCTGTTGACACGCACGCACAGAACACAAACACACAGAGACGCAGAGGCGTGTGCGCACCC